GGGGGAAGAATAGAGGATGAGAGATACCATATAAGAGGGAGCTATTATAGGTTCGAGGAGAGATCTGGCACTAGGGAGATTTCCAGAGACCTAGAAAGAACTGACCATGTCAAAATCAAATGACACTCCTGAGATAATTGGAAGCATGAGGGCAGGGGAGAGGGAGCTGCCAGAATGAGAGGAGGAGAAAAGGAGAGGAGGAAATGGAGGAGCAGAAATATTGAGTTGGGGGAAGAATAGAGGATGAGAGATACCATATAAGAGGGAGCTATTATAGGTTCGAGGAGAGATCTGGCACTAGGGAGATTTCCAGAGACCTACAAGGATGACAGGAACTGACAATCTAGGCAATGGTGGAAAGGATAAACTAAATGCCCTTCCCCTATAATGAGACTGATGGCTGTTTTTTATGCCATCCTAGAGCCCTCATCCAGTGGCTGATGGAAGCAGAGGCAGACACCCACAGATATACACTGAACTGAACTCTGGAATTTAGTTGCAGAGGGGGAGGAATGAAGATAGAAGGGGTTGGTACTAGGATGGTGAAACCCACAGAAATAGCTGGCCGGCCTGTACAAGGCAGGGGGCACATGGATCCTAGATGCTGTCTGGGGGCAGGTACAAGACTGATCCAGAACCCTGAACATAGATGTCAATTAGGAGGCCTCTACAGTCTAAGGAGCCCCTGGTAGTGGGTTAGTGTTTTTTCCTGGTTTAAGAAGGTACTTTGAGAGCCAATCCCACATGAAGGGATGCACTCTTGGCCGGGACACATTGGGGAGGGCGTAGGCCCGGCCCAGGATGATGTGGTGGACTTTAGGGAGCCCCCATTAAGGGCCCTACCCTGCCTGGGGAGTGGAGGGTGGATGGGGTGGTGGGTATTCGGGGGTAGAGGGACAAGGATGGGAGGAAGGGGTGGGAGAGGCAGAAGGGATTAATATGTGAAACGTGCTTGTTCCTAAATTGAACTAATAAAAAAATTACAAAAAAATCAAATTACCCTGACTTCTTTTTCCCTACTTATCTAATACACATTTACATATATTTTAGAGCCTCAGCCTCACATCAGAACACCAGGGAAAATCTATTAGCATCTAGGAGTTCTGTGTATCCTATCATAGAGGATATTGTCTATGAATTTTTCTCATTGGTGATTTAGAAGAAATTATACATGGAAACGTGGATCCTTCAAGCTATAATATGCATTTCTACGATTTACATGCAAACCAGAGGAAAAAACGTGGTAAAAGAAAATGTACTTGATTTTCTACCTTCTTTTTGAACTGGGAGACAGACAAAAGTGTCATATCCTTCTTGCACCCATGCCTGGGGTCATCCTGCATTTATAAAAGTTTGTAAGTCACAGTCATGATCATATCTAAGTCTGACTCTGAGTCAGACTAGCCAGACCTTTCCGGAGAGTTAGATACTGTGGGCCCCAGGGTGTCTCTGTTCTCTTGTCTAGATGCATTTTTGTGGTATAGTTTAAACACACACAGTGGATTTGCAGGGGTTTTTTATAGCCAAAAATTGGAAATTTCTCATCATTTTTGCATTGAGCTTTAGGATATCCAGCACTGCAGAATTTATAGAAATACAAAAGTCTGTTGTAAAAGGTGGGCAGTCTAATAGACAAAAGGTGGAGCACGCTGAGTATTCAGAATGTACCCTCTCCCATGAGAACTCAACCATAGGATGATGGTTACAGTAAAGCAATTAAGATTGAATGAACAAAGGAAAGTCAGACACTGTTGTCATTGGATGCTCAATGGTACTTAGTTTTTAGAATTAACCAGGTACTAAGGGTATACCTGTATCAGTATACTGTGAAAATTTCACTCTTGATGTAAAAATAATAAAATTGATGAACCATGTAAAACTGTGTTTACAGGATATTTGCGAGTATTTGTTTCTGTGTGGATAGTAAAGCGATTTCATGTTATGTGTGAAAAGAAAGATGATGAGAAAGAAATTACTCACTCATCTGTAGGCCATGTGAATAAACACATTTATTTACTAATCTGTTTATTCACAAATAAATAAACCTGTAATCACCAGACCCATCAAGCACATATGTGCCAGAACCCATAAGTCAGCTATATGGGTCAGGGTAAGTGTGTATAGCATAGCATAATAGGATGAGGTCCTACTTTACCCCTTAATGGTCAAAAAGTTACCTCAAATGATCCCATCTGGTTAGAGGGACATTACCACACAAGATGCTAGCATGAGGTAACTGTAGGAAAGGCCAAATGTTGGTAGATAATAGAAAATTGAAAAGAGTATCGTCTTCCACCTATGCTTAGATGGTTGACTGCTTATCTTAGTACTTGATAAGGCTGGAGCCTTTTCATTTTGTGCTAGTCATGTTAAAAATCTGTGTAGACTCTACATTCTCCATTTCAATTACAATTGCATTCTCTTGAAGCGGTCTTCCATCGATAATATTACATTATATAAAGCTAGGCCCTCCATGATTTTTTATTTGAAAAATAATCTGGGAAAAGAATTAAGATGGTAGTTAAATAATTTGTCTGAAGGTAGTCAGCACGCATGTGAAAAGCCATTCTGGGTATTAGAAGTTTATTGAATCAGATGATGTGCCTTGGGTCAGTTGTTTTCCCCTATGAGTTCAAGGAAAGATAAGCACATGATACTAGTAACTGTAAATGCTGTTGGGTTGCAGATCAGAAGCATATAGTTTAAGCCTTAATACTGAAGAAGATGCACACTGTGATTTAATAATATGAAAAATTCAGGTTTGTAGTAATGATATAGCTGCTCCCAACATGTGGCAACATGGTACCAAAACACACTATGCTATTTTGTTCCCAGAAATTGTCAACAACTGTATTATTCAGCCACATGGGAAAGCCATAAGGGAATCTATCAAGGTATACATAATACTAAGTCTAGAAATCTAACATTACAGTTAGAGTTGAAATGATGGCCTTGTCCTAATTTTAATTGTTAACAACTGCATTGTTCAGCCACGTGTAAAGCCATGAGGGAATCTGTCAATGTATATCCAGTAGTAAACCTAGCTTAACAGTTGAGTTGCAGGGGCAACTGTGAAGTACCAAATCCACATGCTATAGAACTAGGTTCTACCAAGGAAGGTATGATTGTTTCTTTTGTTAAATGGTGTGATGATGGACCTGAAAAACTACCTTCTAAATGTCTGTGTGTAGGTTACTGGAACTGCAACCAACATTGTTGAGAGGAACCTTTTACAACATTTGGTGGTTGCTGCCATAGATTCATGTTTTGTTACATTCATGAGAATAACTTAGTATTGCTGCGGTACTATAGCTTAAATTTGAGAAAGAATAGATTGTATTTACCACCTGAAAGGTGGCAGAAAGAATAAAGGCCCAGAATTAGGAAAACATTCTTAGGAATAAGCACATTACTCCTCACAGAAATGACTATGAGTCATTAGGAGAAGTCTTTGATTTGCAAAATTACTGGAACCCTAGAGATAGCATGACAAAAAACAAAAAAAAACCACACTGAAGTAAGACTGTGGTACAGGTGGAGTTAATACTCCCTGAAGGAAGAGACTCATTGTCCTATAGACATTGGCTCTTGTGTTCCCCTACAACCCTCCACCAAGCTCTGCTTGGCTTTAGGTACAGTCCTGTTAGTATATATAGGAGGTGGAAAACTGACTGAAGGCAGCATTCAGGTCAAGCAGCTTTCCTGAGCTAGAGGCTATACCATTGTGGTGAAACTTCTCAGAGATGCAGTTGTCATTGACTCAACTGTGCTCCCGTAAGTGGCATTTATCTTTGTTCCTTTAAGTGAGCTTTATCAATGCATTATGTGGTTAAGGTGGGTTTGTATATTATCTTTTCAATGCTCTTATCATTATTATAGTTTTCAAAGAACTGATATTTGTCCATGTCTCACCTGAATCAAGGCAGGGGAACTGAGAATTTTATAGAACAGAATTGATCAGTAGACCTTGAAATAACTGGTTCTCTAAGGGAATCCTCCATCTCTGGTAATACATGGCAAAGTCCAAAGTCGTTTTGCATTGCTTTTGTTTTTGCTATAAATAAATGGACACAATGTTGCAGGTATCTAACTGGTACCCACTCTGAACCATCTTCAAATTCACAGGTCATCTTCCAGCAAAATAAAGAGGCTGATAAAAATGAACAAGTTGCTGAAATTTAGGAATTGGGCTTTATTGAAAACATAAGATTAAATTGTCTTATTGCCCCAATCCAGAATAAGGAAGCTAATGATGCTTGCATAGGGTTCAGCCAACCTAGGTCTCAACCTGCCTGTGCCTTGGGGGCTGCTTTCTGACATGCAAAGTATTGAAGAATTAATCTTCTGGGAGAAAAATCATTATATTATCTGAAAATATTTTCTCTCCTACATAGGAAAAAAAGAAGAAAGGGAGGAATCTGTAATTATTTGGGTTGCCAAGGTTTGGACCTGTGTCTGCTCACTTTACTCAACCTTAATAAATAAATGTTCAATTAAAATCTAACATAGGCAATGATGGCAGGTTTGGTTCTTTACCATTTTGGTGTATGCCAAATAAAATGGCAAAAGAAAATAAAAAGCATGTTCATGCTAATCACCTTAAGTCCTGGGTGATATTAAAGAAAAATCAATTAATCACAGACATAAAATTTATTAAATGAACTGGAAAATGAGCTTACATTCCCAAGATATTAAAACATGCAAAGTGATGATTTAAGGACTCTGGTTTTGGATCCATCAATGCTCCAAATGTTTCCAAGTTTGGGAAGCCATTCCAGAGCAGTCAAAGCTGAAGGATCACCTACCTCCCAAGGTGTCAACTGTGGAAACATATCTCCCTATATTCTTCCAGTGGAAACAGCATCTGCCTAACTTCAGTTGTACAGAACTGAGTTGGCACAGGATCCTTAGAAATGATAGGATAGTGCTTACTACACAGGGTAGCTCTTGGAACCTCAATTGAAAACATCATCTCAGAAATTTTTCTCTGTGAAGCAGGGATGGGCCTGTTGCTGCTGGTGTCAAGCCTGCTCATTTGGGAACATGTGATCTCCACCTCAGATAACCAGAGGTCCAATGAAGAACTGTATTACAAAATGCTGTCCATTTCTCATCACACCCGTGTAGTTGCCCGAGACATGTATAAAATTTTAGTAAGTAACTCACTTAATTCAGAATTCTTCTCTGAGTGAATGTGTGAAAACTCTTCATTTTGACCATAAAGCATTAGGAATCAAATTTTAACTAATATGTTTATATGCAATAGAAATAACTAATTATTAAATTGTAAATGAGAGAATACAGGAGGTTTCATGAAATACGAAGATTTGTAAAGAGGGAAATGGCTTTTTTCCAAATTTTCCTCTAAGAAACCTTAAAAATAGGCATTTTTGTATTGAATTTCCACTTTGAATATTAAGAATATTCATCAGGTTGGAGCTGTGTTTTTCTGCTCATTTTTCAGAATGCCCACAGAGGTATTATTCTCAAAGGGTTCTATAGATATCCAATGTAAGGCATTGCAGTGCATTAAATTATTTGGAAAAAAAACAAAACTAATTTCTAACACTGTAATGTGGAAAACAAAAAAGTAGGTGTTCATCCCATTACTAGTGGGGAGTGACCGGTTAATATAGGAGTATTGGTGTAGAAGAGAGTATTTCCTTTCTTCCTGGTAGAGATACATATTTGTGATTTCTTTAGGTGAGTCACTACAGTGAAAACAATAAAGACAGTACAAAATTAGGAATATGAAGCACGTGTCTATAGAATTGTAGTAAATATACCTTCTCATTGTCATTTTCACTCATTAGTGTTTCTATAATTCCTTCTTCACTCACAATCTTTCAAATACAATGTTCCTAAAAATCCACTAAACTTATAAATTTGATGAGTGTTACTATTAATTATATATATTTAAATTAATAAATACCTCAAGTAAGCATAATCTTCAATTGATTGATATAGTCACATTAAATGCTGTTTTGTGAATTCTACCCTCATTCATTGCTTAAATACTTCTTAAAATATATCCAGATTTTTATATTGGAATTTGATACCATCAACACAACTGAATTATAAATTTACCATGTAGTTGGTATGGTCTAACTATAACCCAATTTGCTTGAGAAAATAGTATAAATATTCAGTTATCAACCTAGCAGTAGCATATAAGCTTGAAATAGAAAACAAGTTATTCATGAATATCAATACAAAGGCACTGTTTGATGGTACTCAACTCAAATCCTGCAGAGTTCTGATACTTAAAATACTAAATATTTTTGGGTTAGAATATTTCTTATTACTTTCTTTCAAAACAAAAATTTTTAGGAATGGCAAAACAGCTAGAGCATAGTGAAGGAGAGTTGAGTTTGTGAGGCCAGGACATGCAATTGCATATCTAATAGAAAGAAAAAGATGATAGGCTGTATTTGCTTCAGTCCTCTATTTCAGTGTTTATCTAGTCCTTATGTGATAAAATTGAAAATCTATCAAATACATGATAATGTGATCATGGGTGTGTTTATTATATTCTACAAAGACTTGAATTATTTCATTTCCTCCAGGATGCAAAGTTTTCCAAGGGAAAACGGCTTAAGAACAATGGAAATAACACCTGCCATACTGCTTCCATCCCTACTCCAAAAAAAGTAGGTTTTCCTCCAAGATATTTACCAAAACAACTTTAGTAGTAGTCTGGCTATCTGTGCTATGTGTGATTAGTGGGACTAAATCAGTTACAATAATCTCAGATCCAATAGAATGAAGGAAGAAGGATCAGGCAGGTACCTTATACCACACGGTAGGTAACATACACACTAAGTCAAATGTCAGCTGATATTATGGCAGATGCCTAAGTTGCCCATGAAGAAGATCATTTTGCCAGGACCTTGCTAGTGGGATTAACTTTTTTGATCTGAATTGGATATTAATGTTTAAATATATATCCATACACATGTGGAAGTAATCAAATACGTAGTAATACGTAGTGTTCATTATGTAATTCTAAGGACTCTTCCTCTGTCAGCAGGCAAATTAAATTGCCAGTCTGCAGTTTATTTTTGAGTTTTGAAACTCCCTTGGTCTTATTTCTGTTTCAGTATTTTGTGCAGTACTCCCTGAGAGATCTACATTTTCCTGTATCTTAATTCCAAATAAGCTGAAGAAAAGGGTTCTCTGCATAGTGTGTTATGTATCTCAGGGTAACCTTTATTTTGCTGGGGTTTTCATTTCTTAGTAGCTCTTATATGTGATTGTTTTATTCCTGCCTTCAGACTCCCAGTCATAGTCAATCTTTTGTGATTTCTATATGATCTTCTCATTAGCACCAATCACTTATATAAAACTGTACTTATAAAAATGCAAATATAATAATAGAAATTAAAGTAAAATAGGTGGGGAAGAGAATTTTTCCACAGATCTACTTTCCTATACACTTCCAAAAGCAGTATGTTGGCACTGATACACATATTAGACACAAACATTTCTCTAACATGAGATACTATTAGAAAAAATAAGGAACTAGAGGTTCAGAAAGGTTTAGAATTTAATTTGTACCTCTTACATGTCATTAGAAAAAAAACTAAACTGAGGTAGTGGTGGTACCCTCCTTTAAACCAGGACTAGCGATGCAGAGGCAGGTGGATCTCTATGAGTTCAAGGCTAGCCTGCTCTACAAAGCGAGTTCCAAGATAAGCTCCAAAACTACACAGAGAAACCCTGTCTCAATAAACAAACAAACAAACACACAAAAACCAACAATAACAACAACAAAAAACATTTAAGAGGTAATTAGTTTTATGTTAGCAAATATATTTCTTTTTTCTTTCTTTTTTGTAGTTAAAAGATTTATTGAATTTCTTCAGCATTTAAAAATATTTATTATTGTTAATTACTATTTTTATTTAAATTAGTAATAATCTTGCTTCACATGTCAATCCCAGCTCCTTCTCCCTACCCTCCTCCTCACTCCACCCCCCATCATCACCTGCAAGCCCCCAGCCCATCCTCCCTCCGCTCCCCAGGGAGGGTGAGGCCCTCCATGGGGGATGTTCAGAGTATGTCACATCACCCCATGCAGGGCTTAGGCCCTCCCCTTGTGTCCAGACTGCCAGAGATAAATACTGATCTACTACCCGAGGCCCCATAGATTGCCAAGTCCTTCTCACTGACACCCCCATTCAGTGGTTCTGGATCAATCCCATGCTGGCCTCTCAGCCATCAGTCTGGGGTCCCTGAGCTCCCTCTTGTTCAGGTCAGCTGTTTCTGTGAGTTTCACCAGCCCAGGTTGACCCCTTTGCTAATCACTCCTCCTTCTCCGCAACTGGATTCCAGGAGTTCAGTTCAGTGTTTAGCTGTGGGTGTCTGCCTCTGCTTCCATCAGTAACTGGATGAAGGCTCTAGGATGGCATCAATCTCATTATCAGGGAAGGGCATTTAAGGTAGCCTCTCCACTATTGCTTAGATTGCCATTTGGTGTGATCCTTGTAGATCTCTGGAAATCTCCCTAGTTGCTAGATTTCTTACATCTCTACAATGTGTATCATGATCCAAGAAACTTTTATGTACTCATTGCTTATAAATCAATATTATAATATTTGTCTTTATATAAATACACAATGTATCTGCCATGCTGTTTTACTTACTCGATGCAATGTTCAATCTCATTGCTTAGACTGAAGACCTTCTGAAAGTGATCATCAATATTTCAAATGCCTGGAAGTACCCACTAAAGCTGCTACCACCTGCAGCATTGACTCACTTAGGGTCCTATCATGGTATGCTGACAGGAGCCATACAAGTTAAATATGGAAATGAAGAGGTTCTGGCGGGAGCCAAAATTTTACTCAGGAGGGTAAGCCATCTCTTCACATTTCTTTGATCATGTCATGTGTGAAAGAGAAATTAATTTTTAAAAACTTCATCTCCAAGAGTATCCAATATGTTCACAACCTTTCCAATAAGGGAATCACATACATAAACAACCCCTCATAAAGTTGTTTACTGAGAATCCAACACATAAATGATCTCAGCTGTTGTTTGTAGTAATTTGGACCGAAGCTACCCTAAATGAGAGGGGCACACCTGCCTAACCCCGAATAGACAGTCATTCTATGTCTTCAGCACCCTAACTCATTAAAGGGAATTCTCATCATGTCTAAGAGCTAGGGAAAATATACAATATGGAGAATAGATTTAGTTGAAAGGCAAAGAGATAAGGATATTCTACCAGAACCCATAAAAGTATAGAGGGCAGATCATGGAAAGTACTAAAGACATGTAAAACTCTCCAAAGTGAAAGAGCTAGCACCATTCTCTCCAATGTTCTTTGGTTAAATCTGTATCTACAGCCATATAGCAACTTCCTGCTTTTCCATTTTTCTAATACACATGCATATTCCTCATTTGGGACCAATGGCACATCCAAAATAGTGAACATCTATTTCACTTCTAATTTTATGTGCTAATGCCTTCATGATACCTTGGATTAGAAACCCGACAAGACACAATTTTGACTAATTTTCTACTCTTACCTTTTCTTGCAAACTTCATTCAAAATGTAGAAGTAGTATGGATCAGGACTATGGAGATTGCTCATGTCTGTGAATGCCTTCTTTGCATGTATGAGGACCTGAGTTTGACTCAAAAATCCTTTTTTTGATTCTTTTTAAGATGTTCTCTTAATTTTATCTAGAACATACCAGGGATCTGCTTGTCTCTGTCTCCCTAGTGCTGAGATTACAAGGAAAATTCACACATCATCTTTCATTGATAAGAATGTTTGCAAAAGAAGTAAGGACCAACTATATACCAACAACTACATAACACTTGTCCTTTTTGATGTTTAGATGCATCTTGAATTTGAAGAAAATGTCTATCCTGACTGGCCAGAACTAAAACAATTAAGGTCTTCCAATGAAGAAAGGCACCTTTTTGCATTTTATAAACTCTTCTTTTGCCTACGAAATGATACACAAAAGATTGACCGCTATCTCAAGACTCTGGGGTCCCAAATTATCAAAAACCACAGGTGCTAAGTATAGATACATGATATTTGCTGCTGAGATGCCCCTTGATGAATGAACCAGACCTTCAATGCTTTGAAAATTCTAATCTACTAGATTTTTTATAAAATAAAATATGATTCATTAGAAATGCCAATCTGGAGGAGAGCATTTACCTGTTTCTTGTGTCCATGTAATATAAGTTAGAAATATAGCATTGCAATGTTTCTTTACAATTTTCACAAATGATCACGTTTTTTGAAAGAAAGTAAGATGACTGAAAAATTACTCTAGAATTATGGGAAGTAATGAGCAAGCTATAGAAATATCAAGATATTTCTATTAATCAGTAGAAATAAGATGGAAACATGCAGATATGCCTTGAAATCAAACAATTCTGTATGAGAAAAGTTTCATGATCCAAGGAAAGATGGTTTAAGTGCTGTAGTTTTGCACTGTCTCCAGATACCATAATGTTTCAAACTTCCCCAAAACATGTTAGGATGTAAGTATAAAATGTATCTATATTTCTCCAGTGAAAATCTTCCACTATGGTCTTCCATAACACCATTTTAGAAAGATTGCAGTGGTCTTCAGAACAACTAATCTGACAGCTCTTCATCCCATATTCAAGTTATTCAATGCTCTAGCCACATTCTCTAGTTATTACTTCCATATAACAGGAAAGCAATACTTCATCCATTCTCACAATGTTCCTGCCACTTCCCTTTTCTGCATATCAGTGACTGTGACTTCCTCTGAATTCAGTAGATAGGGACAAAAGAAAAATGGTGACACTGATAAGTAGAGTATTACTGACTAACATTGAAGTTAGAATCTTCTGAGAATCAGGTGCTCCTTCCAGGAAGCATACTGGTGTGGTACAAATATATGTTTGGGGATACATAAAAGAGTGGTACCTGTCAAGAGGTATGCACTGTCTAAATTCTCTTAACACTTCCACAAGTGCACCATCTGTTCACACCTTTTAAGCCTTTGTTTCTGACCCTCTTATTTTAAGGCATGGTATTTGAGGAAAGTAGCATCAGACCTATTCCATTAGCAGAGTGGCAGCAACAATGGGTCTCCAATGACACCTTCCTCCCCTATACATTCTCTTGTATTGTTATAGAACCAAAATGGAACAGAAAGTCAAATTTCTTATCAGACATTCTCTCCAGGAATATACATCTATTATTTCCTTCTTTTGGACTCCAGAGTAATTTCATATATTGGCAGTCATCTAAGGGTGAGAGTGTATCATATTACCTTAAAAGACCACCAAAAATACATTTGAACATTCTATTCATTCTATCTAAAGAAAAATTATTGGGTGACTGTAGCTCAGTTTGTTGACAGCCATTAAGCAACTTAGGAAATGGATAATTTCACACCCTTCACTGTAGTGAGATATCCAAGTTTGAGCATAATCCAGGTGCAGACATGTCAGGGTGGGTTTAGGTCTGAGGTTGGGACAGGTGGCTGAGACTTTCTCTTGCTTCTGGTGAGATCATGGAGGGAGCCTGGGTGAATCTTTGGACCTAGAACTTTCAGCAGTCACCCACCTCTTCACCTGTCCTGAGTCTAGTGAATCTTTATTCCTACACAGTACTTCTCTCCTTAGAAGTCAGAAGGATTTCCAGGTTGTCTTTTGCCTCACTTATAGCATATTTCCAGACAATCATAAATAACAGATGCTGATAAATGACCCAATACACTTTTTATAATCAATATCCTAACCCACTTCTCTTTGATTTAGGTAGCCTGGCTGGTCAGTGAGCTCCGGGGACCTATCTCCGTGCCCTGCTGGCTTTCTACTTCCTGATATGCAAATCTTCCTCTTGCTTTTGTTTGTTTGTTTGTTTGTTTTTTTTTTGGCCATGCTTGGTTCATATTTTCTTTGTTATTTTTTGAGACACTGTAATTGTATGTAGGCATATGTATATATACACAAAAATATGCATTCTTAATTTTTGATTAGTTCTGTGTAAACTTTGGTCATTTTTTTTAAAACATTTGCTCACTTCTGTAATTCTTCTTAGTCACACCGTCCTTTTATATCCACCCAATTTTTGTCTTGATTTCCCCCCACATATCAAGTATGGTTTGGGTTGTTTATATATTCACAGATATGTGACCTTCCTCTAGAATGTGGTAGACTTTCCAGGGACAACACTTAAAGAAAACTCCCTCTCCTCTTAACAACTATCTATTGACAATAGCTCCCAACTTAGGTCTCCATGTCTTGCATGTAGTGCATACATGCTTTCAAAACTATTATGAATTCATATGTATAATCACCTTGCTGTTTCCAGAGGACATAGATTTTTAAATATTCTTTTATCACACTATACTTTTATAATATCCCCTACCTCCACGGTGATCCATGAGCATTCTACATTCTTGTGTTCACATATATATGAAATCTTCTACAGTAGTAAGTTAGCTTCCATATGACTGTTTTAAGAGATATCTCAGGTTATTTAATCCTCCCCCATTCCTCCTCCTACCTTCTTTCCCATGCCTGACTCCAGTATAACCATTCCTGTTTCATTACCCACCCCTGAATCTTTTCTATCACTGCTGTGAATTCAAACTTTGGTCCTCAAGCTTGTAGGGTAAGAACTTTAGAGACTGATATATCTCCCATTTAAAAATCCTTAAAACCTGAATGCACTTTTCTTTCTCATGTACTCCTTTTCTTTTCCTGAAACTTTCTTCCATGTTAGATGTATTCTTTTACCTTCTCTATTCAGTAGCAATAGCAATATACATAAAGAGAACTTTGAGTTTCTGCAAGTAATATTTTAAAACATTTGGAGTGGGGGATTATTTGGTTTTTGTTTCTTATTTAAATGTAAAACCATAATAAATAAATACAAATTCTCAACTATTTATAGAAACACATTGTAGGAGATTGGTGTATCAGCCTCATCCCTTACAGCCAGAGCAACTTCCCTGAATCTCTACTTGGCACTGTGACTGTCCACCTGTTCAGAAAAGAACAGGGTTCTTTTTACCAGACAAATTTTTGACATATTTATTCCTTATGAATGTATGTCAGCTTTTTCAGCATTTTAGAAACCCATACACTATATTTTTGCATTTTAACATAGATAATATCCAACATGTATTAATATAAACTCATAGATAGTCCTGAGGTGATTTGGTTTGTACCCAGAGTGAAAATGCCAATAAATGAGAGTAAAAATCTATGGGTTATAAGTTACAAAGTACACATTTTAAGGGTTAATTTAAGATGTGCAAGCCACAGAGGAGTAAGTGGTAATATGCTTTGCTTGATAGTAACATTTAAACTCAACTATGAGTTATTTAATCAAGATAAATGTTGAGAAGAAACATAAGTGTTATATAGTGTATTTAAGTTGAAGGGGGAAAAATACTTATAATGAATCTAACAATTACTTACCAACTAGGAGCAGTGTCTATGATATTCCTCCTTGTAAGATTATATTTGAAGCAGTGGTCTTACCATAGCAAATAACAACAGTAATGTCAAAATAAAAACAAGCCAACAGTAAAACTTGATTGTATAGGTTTAGTGAATTACATAATGAACACTATTTGAATAATAAGATAAGGGAAAATCCATCTTGTATGTGTTTTCACTGAAAATGTCTGGGATCCAGAAACATGCAAATTGCCACCCATGGTATGAATTTCTCTTTAGTATACAGAAAAAATAAAAGTGTTGGTAAAAAGAAATGGACTGGATTGTTTATCGTCTGCCTGAACTAGGGCAGAGAGAAAAGTATAATTTTCTCCTCCCATCCATTCCTAGGGCCATCTTGTAATTCAGAAACATCTGCAGGACACAGTCTAGACCATGTCTAAGTCTGAGAGTGAGTCAGATTAATTAGTCCCTTCCAGAGTCTTTGGGACTATGGGTTTAAGGTTATCTGTTTTCTGTTGTGAATACACTTTATTGGATTTAAGAAACACACATCCTGGATTTGCAGAGTTCTTTCATTTAATATATAGAAAACTGAAGCATCTTGTCTACTTTAAAAGTTTGCCTAACTGCTTCATGAACACAATAAAATTTGTTAGAAAAAAAAGATGACAGTCTGGGCCAAGTAGTAGTTGTGCACACCTTTGATCCCAGCACTTGGGAGTCAGAGGCAGGTGGATTTCTGTGAGTTCGAGGCCATCCTGGTTTACAAAGCTATACAAAGAAACCCTGTCTGGAAAAACAAAAGCAAAACAAAACAAAAAGATGACAGTCTGATAGCTAAAGGGTAAGCACACTGTCTTTGTCATAACACACTCCCCCCACTAGAACTAACCACAGGTTGTGGTTATAATAGGAGGGACTTTAGCTGATCTGAGTGTGAAACCACTCAAGATGGTCTGAAAATGGGACAACACTGATTAACCTAGGAGGCTATTGGAAGGCAAATAGTACAATGTTTGTTTTGAAATCAAGCATTTCCTAATAGTGGACAATTATTCTTGCATCAGAGTATAGTTTGATTTGAACCACTTCCCTTGAAGTAAGTTTACAGGCAAATGAACTACATAGACATTGTTTATACCATATTTTCCGAAATTTCTTTGGGGTAGAATGTAAGGCAATCTTGTGTTATTTTGGGAAATGGTAGTATGAGGGGTCTTGAGCAAATAGTTTTGGCCTTTAAACAGCCTATAGTCAGTGCTCACATAGTACATGTCAAAACCCATAAGGAACATGGGGAGGCAATCAGTCCAGAAGGAGAGAATGAGTTTGGCTCAACTTGGCTCCTTAATGGTGTATACACAACCTCAATTGATTAGATCTACTCAGAATGTTAACACCATGAAAGATGCAAGTATAAGGAAACTGAGGATCAGGCAAGTGAGAGTTGATAATTTGCAACTAAATGGAGTATGGTCTAATATTCATGCTGAGATAATGAAGTTGTTGTCTGAGTCTTTGATAAGTCTTGGGAGATTTTATTACTGTATTAGACTATGTTCCAATTTTCTTTGGACTCTCACAGTTTCTCAAACTCAATGATAATTTTCTCTCTAAG